TTTACAGAATTATTCTTACTTGCTCTGTGTGTCCAGTTGTAGCTGTACTGAGAGGGGTAAACATAAAAACCTGTGTTCTCTGTGGCGTCTCAGCTACTGTGAAGAAATCCCCGTGGAAGAAAATGAAGTCAACGACAGCTCCTCAAAAAGCAACATGGAGGCCAAGCCAGACGCTAGCCCTCAGCTGCCAAAGAAATCTGTCACTGCCGGCACGTTGACACCTACGGGAAGCAGTGAAGCGCCAGCCTTGGTAAGTGTCCTTCCTCCGTTGCAGTGGGAGCAGCAATCCTTTTCTCTGGATCCAGCTGGTAGCCCTTGAATGTACGAGGTAACTCTTTACCCTGCAGCTCCTCTTCCGCTGCAGCTGACCTCGGTCCCCGAGTCAGTGGTATCTGTGAGCATGGCATTTGGCCAAGAAATGGTGAGCAAAGAGTGCCTGTCCTAAAAGCCAGGGAACTGGGACTCTCAGCAGCAAGTGCATTTTCCTTGCTATACTTTCAGATGAAAAGAAATGGAGTGTTGGAGATAAAAGGGTTATAATTTCCTCTCTGCCTTCAGTTATTCCCTAGGAAACAGTGTGTGCCCTCATAGTATTGTGGCAGAGCGGACCTTGTTCAGATGTAACCTCAGATTTTCCTAGCTTGTTCGGGGGCAAAACCAGTATTATTTTGTGCTTGTCTGAACAAATGGAAAGCCTTGTGTGTGTTCCAAGCTTGAACTGTGCATGGTTCTCTGAGAGGAGGTGATCTAGTATGTCCGTGTGTTTTACAAACACCGTATGGTAACCTTCCTCCCCTCTCTATATTATTTGACTTCCAGACATGTTGAGGCCAAATGTTCGAAGGTATGAAAATTGGCCCAGAGGTGTAAAGTTGTCAGAAATAACTCCCAGTTTCCAGGTGCTGATCTTGCCCTTGTTATGCTCTCTCCTTGCTGCAGTTTGATGGAGTTCTACCCGAAGAGGAGGAGGCAGTGGCAGAGAGTCCTGTGGAAAAGGACCTTGGCATTGCAAATATCATGGGAGAGAAGACAGAGATCATTGGCCCTGTGAACTCCCCTTCCCTAGACTTCAATGACAATGAAGACATTCCCACTGAGCTCAGTGACTCGTCAGAGACCCACGATGAAGGTATGTGGGGAAGGGCCGTTCCACCGGGGGTGTTCGCAGCCTGCTCCCGTCCTTTCCAGTGAGGGACTGGAGCGGCAAACACCGAATTCCTTTTCTGGACCCTAAGAGTTCAGAAGATGCAAATAATTCCCATCCTGGGCCGCAGAAGGCGAATGCGTGGGGTATTTGGAAGGATGTCCCTAAAGTAACCTATGTAGTTAATTACTCCTTCTGATCTTCCAACTGTTGTTCTCGGGTCAGTGGAGGAAAAGGGTTTGAAGTACCTCCTTCGGGTTCCTTCTTCACAGAGTGAAGTACTAAGGTCCTGGTACTGTGAAAACACAGCCTCTGCTGTTGGCACAGGGGATCATGGCTGGGGTTTGTGGGCCTGTTTCCCCGCAGGGGAAGTCCAAGCCTTTTACGAGGATCTGAATGGCCGTCAGTACGTGAATGAAGTGTTCAACTTCAGCGTGGATAAGCTGTACGACTTGCTGTTCACCGACTCCCAGTTCCAGAGGGACTTCATGGAACAGCGCCGGTTCTCTGGTAAGCTGCTGCTGGCAAAGCCTGGTTACTGACAGGGGCTGCGTTCCCTGCAGGGTACAGAGGCCTGTACAGAAGGAAGGTCTCGGCACATGCCTTGGAGGTATGATTTTGCCTGACGACAGAGGGACTGGGTAATAATCTGAGCAGATCTTGGGACGGCTGTAGTCTGTACTGACAGTAATCCAAAGCAGGTACAGCCAGCCTTGTTTGGCTATCTGGTTTTATTTTCTAAGAGCTGGATTGAAGTTTATGGAAGAAGCAGACTCATATTTTTTAACATCAACTAAGGCCTGATCCTGCGTTCAAGGCTTAACGCTGTGAGGAAAAAGCAATTTGAGCTCTGCACCAGGCACTGGCACGGACTGTGCAGCTGATGATGCAAAGAGAGTGTCCCTTGGCGCGTGCTGTGGTTCTCCTTTCCCTGTAACTGTAGGGAGATACGTCCCCAGCCTCTCCCCCTTTCTTTGCTCTGCAAAACAGGGGAAAGTATTCACCTTTAGTACAGGAGACCTTTCCTGCTCGCTCAGTTGAGCTCTAGTGCTTCTGCAGCATGCTCTCCAAGGGGAAGGAAATACTGTCTTATGTTTTATGTGTACTGTTTTATGGCTGTGCCTTTCCCTAGGGAACTGACCCGAGATCCCTCTCTAGTTAGTTCAACACAATATTATTTTGTCCTCTCAGATATTATTTTTCATCCGTGGAAGAAGGAAGAAAATGGCAATCAGACCAGAGTGATCTTGTATACCATTTCCCTCACCAACCCCCTGGCCCCCAAAACTGCCACTGTCACTGAGACGCAGGTATGTGAAAGGGGAGCAGGGGTGGAAGGCTTTGTAGAAACAGATCTGCAATTTACTTTCTTGTCTTGGGCATGCTGCTTTGCATGTTTTTATTCTCCCTATCCATTTTCCTTTACACATTTTTCTTGTATTAACTTGCTACCCAGTGTCACTGCAAATGTGAGTAGCTAATCTTACGCTCGTGCTGGATTGCATTGCAAGGAAAGGATTTTTCCAGTTTTCCAGCAAAAGCAGAGAAGTTTGTACACAAGCCAGCAGTGTGTGTCACCCGTACTGGTGTTTTTCGAGCTGCGGTCAGACCAGCAGGTGTTATTCATGAGCAGGGCACAAGAAAGTCAAATACTGTCTGGCCAGTCCTTCTCACAGCTCCACATACAGGTGTCCAGGCTTTTTTACTGGCGAGGACAATTAGATGATCTGTTTTAAAAGATAAAAAATGGGAGCATCTGCAATGCACTGGGAAGAGCCAGGTTAGCTGTATCTAGTAGGGGCTGCAGCGAGAGAGGGAGGGAAAAGACTCCTTCTGTGTCCAGAGACCTGGTCAAGTGGCTAAAGGGTAAATCCTGAGAGTTAGCTTGAGGGAATACTACGAGGGAGCCAAGAAAAGATGGGGTGCCTGAGCATTACCTTTCAGGGAGAGGAGGATCCCAGCGGCACGGTGTACCTTGTAAGGATGGGATGGAGCGTGCTGTTCAGAGTGAAGGCTGTGTGCAGGCAGAAAGAGAAAGAAAAGGGGAGAGCAAAGTGATGGGCAAAGGGAACAGTATACTTTCAGGCACGCAAGGACGTGGCCTATATTATTCTGAATTTGGGGTCAACCACCGAGGTGCACTTTGCTGCGTCCTCGCTGCAGAGCTGAGTGGAAATCGTCTGTAAGAAAAGCCGTACTTTGGCGTACAGATGTCCAGTTAACTGCGTCCATCCCCCCTGTGAGGTTTGTGCTGGGGCAAAGAAAGCAGCAGATCAGAAGCGCTTCAAAGAAGCAATTGACACGTTTGTGCAGTGTTTAGAATCGCAGAATAATTTATACTGGCCAGGACCTCTGGGTCATCAAAAAGCATCAAGAGCAGGGCCATCTCTGACTGTAGATCAGGTTGCTCCCCGACAAGGCAGACATCAGTTTAACGAGAAGAGGTGACACTTGCAAGGGTCCCAAAGAACCGGTCCTCCCGTGGCAGCGTATGCCGCTCCGTCTCTGATACATAATGCTGGAGGTTGAGCTGCTGGAACCGAGTGCCCCTTTTTGTAGTATGCCTTTGGGAAACATCCCAGTGAAGCACTGGGTTTCCTGGAGTATGCCCTCCCTTAGAGGCATGCTGTTCACGGAAAAATTGCAGAGATGTTGCTTGGGCCAGGGTGTGGTCTCCTATTCGTGGTAGAGCTGTAGAGCGCTAGGGAAGGGGCCAATCTATCAGAGCCGTGTTCTAACCAGACTAATAGTTGCCTTGCATGCTGTCTTTTATGCAGACAATGTACAAAGCCAGCCAAGAAAGCGAGTGCTATGTCATAGATGCAGAGGTGCTAACTCACGACGTCCCCTACCATGATTATTTCTACACCATTAACCGCTACACGTTGACTCGTGTTGCCAGAAACAAAAGCCGACTCAGGTACACTTCTTGTGGGATAAAGAGCTTTACTGACGACCAAAAGTCACCGTCGAGGGGAAGTTCTGCTGTTTTCTGTGGTGGAAGGGGTTGGGGAGAATTTAGCCTTATTTCTTTGTCCTGTTGCCAGAACACTCCTATCACAGAGAGTTACCGCAGGGGCAGCTGCCTACTGTGGTGACATCGGCACTTGTCACACACAGTCAGCTACATGTGATAAGTGACAGGGCGTATTTCCAGGGACTGTGCCTCTGCGACGCACCTGGGGGGACAAGCAGAGGAATTTGGTACCAGGAAAAGCTATAGGCTTTTGTGTTTGACTTGGATAAGTAATCTAAATGTCTGCCTGCCACCTGGCTGAAGGTCTCGGGAGTCCTGTGGGGAGAGGCTCTCTTGAGGCCTTCCTGCCACTGCCTTTGGAAGGACTTCCCACGCAATGCTTCTCCTCGAGAAACACGAAGGGATGAGACCATTCCAGAAATAACAGTGTGCATGATTATGTCTCATTTTTACATTGACAAAAGGCTGGGAATTGACATTGTCTCCAGGAAGCAAAATTGGGAGAATGACTTTCCTTTCTTCACATAGGGTTTCCACAGAGTTACGTTACAGGAAACAGCCTTGGGGGCTGGTGAAATCCTTCATTGAGAAGAATTCTTGGAGTGGCCTAGAGGATTATTTCCGCCATTTGGGTAAGAGTGGCCATGACTGGAGCTGCGGTAATGACCCTCGAACTGTGGTGCCTTCCACGGTTTGTGCGTGCCTCCCTGCAAGCGGGCAGCGTGACAGTGTGAGACCCCGACCTCGGAGCGGCTGGGGAAAGGGGCCAGCCACACTCATTACCACAGCGTTGGTAGCACTTGCTGCAATTAATCAGGTCATCAGATCCTGTTCTCTGGCAGGAACGCAGGCAGTCTGGGGTCAGAGTTTGGCAAAAGGTGTAAAGGATGCGTCGTGTGTCCTCTGGCACGGGCCTCTGAGACCCTGCAGACTTCTTTAGCCCAGCGGCTGTGCCGTTAGAGGGCTCAAGCGCGCGTCTCTGCAAGGCCAGCACCACTGCTATTAAACGCTTTCCCTCGCTGTCTCTGCAGAGAGTGAACTGACCAAAACTGAGAGCACGTACCTGGCTGAGGTCCACAGACAATCCCCCAAAGAGAAAGTGAGCAAGCAATCGACCACGCGCCGGAGGAAACGGGCCCATGCCCATCTGCGGGTGCCACACTTGGAGGAGGTGCTGAGTCCCGTCACCACCCCCACGGACGAGGAGGTTGCCCATCGAATCAAGCACGTGGCAGGTAAGGAACTGCAGACACCCCGGGCTGGGGGACGGAGAGCTGGGACCGCTGGACAAAAAAAGGAACTTTGCTCGCGGAGGGTTAGTGGGAAGACGGGGCAGGGAGGGTGCGTTATGGTTGCCCGCGTGAGATGGAGGGGTGGGCAGAGGGAAAAGGGCTGCCCTCCCCATTGGGCAGCGTTCCCTAGCCTAAATGCATCTGTCTGCTCAGGTTCCACACAGACACGGCACGTCCCTGAGGAGAGCCCCAGCGGCTTCCACCTGCAGAGCGTCTCCAAGCTCCTCCTTGTCATCAGTTTTGTGTAAGTGATTTTTTTTTGCTTTCCTTCACAGTTAGCCTTTAACAGCTTTGGCCCTTTTGTGTTTCTGGTGTTCTGTGTTCCCCTGTGCCAGTTTTTCCTCTCTCATATTGCTCTCTGGTCCTAAACTTTGTGCGGCACAGAGGAGAGAAAAGCAATGACAGGCAGCAAAGGATTAAAATTTCCCCCAAATGCCCCATCAGCTGTTTTGTCTGTCTCGATCCCAGCTTTTGCTAGTACTTAGCTAGCCACTGATCGGGATCTTGTATTATCAGTGTCTCTCCTTTCCCCCCAGTTTGGACCTTGTTTTAGCCAGGCACGGGCTTTGCAGACCTGCATGTTTCTGGGAGTCCTAAACGCAGATGTTGACAGAGGCAAGCAGGGTGAGGGGCAGCTGTGCAAGCAGAGGGGAGTCAAAAGAGAAGAAATCCAACAAGTAGAAAGAGTCTTTTTTTATTTCAGGGACTCAGAGATTTTTCAATGACATCTAGAAACTGTGGTGTGTTTTTATTAAATTTGAAATAAGTCATTTAATGTAATGTACGAACAGACTAGCTGTTATCATGAAAGACGAACATGCAAAGCTCTCTGGGAGTTACTGTACTGTCACAACAGGTCTCAGTGCAGGTGAGGCGTCTGTCTGTTACTTCTTTCCTCTGGTCTGGCAAAACCTATTCAGGTCTGGTCTTGGGTGGTGATTTTGACGAGAGACACCATCTCAGAAAGAAGCTGGACCGTTTAGAGATGATTTCTGCAAAAGAAGGGTAGAAACACAGGAAGCAAGAGAGACTGGCATGATTTCACTAGTTCAGGAACTGCCTTTGGTTTGGGTCCCTGTTCTGCCACCACCTTTCGCAGCTGGTAGTCTAGGACTTGGCTGGATGTGTGCTCAAAGCGAGCTGGGTGTGGGCCCCTCGTATCCCTGTGGCTCAGTCTTTATGGTGAAACCCCGGCATATTTATTGTTTCTCTGCCTCTCGGGCTGACGGTAGCTTTCACGTGTTAGTGCTGCAGCGGTTGCTGGGCAGGTGCTGTGAAGCGGTAACGTCTAAAGGAGCAATCCAGATATGGTGGGTTTTCTCATCACTTCGGGGAGCGGGAGCATACTGTTAACCCCGGGGAAAAGCAGAACTCGGGCTCATGCTTTTCCTAATCTCCACCCATCTTTTAGTGAGGGGGGAAGAAGCTGAGATTTGTAGACTGAGGTTACTTTTCAGACTGAGCTCCTTTTTGCATTTCCTTTTCCCAGTGGGGATAAAGACTGCAGAGGTTTGCAGCAACAACCCAGCTAGTTCCTGTAACGAGAAGTAAGGTAGCGTAAGGTACTGTACGGAGAAGATAGCCTCGTGCTATCTTCTGTATCTAGATGGGCAAGATGCGATTAAAACTTTGAGTAGGAAGGCACATAAGCTTTAGGACAACCTCTCCTGATAGGCTGTTGCTTAGCTTAGAGAGGTCAGAGAGCCCTCCATAATGTTTTCAGAATACTGTTCTGGCCGGTTGCCCTCCGCCTGACTGAACTGGGCGATCGCAAGCCTTTTTTCCAGCAAACTGGCTGCGCTATTCAGAGACAGGCACGAGCGTGTTGTTTTGGGATCTGTTCCCCGAGCGTGGCTGACGGGCGGAGAGGAAAGGAAATGCTCCTGCGTGGCGGTGGGGGGTGAGAGGAGCGGTATGGCAGCTGCTCACAGCACTGGTGTTCCCGTCGCCGGCTGTGGCAGGAGTGGGTAAGGCTGGACGCGTGCAGGCTGCAGCATGCATTTGTGTGTCAGACGGTGCCCTGCACGGGCACGCTTTGGGCTTGTGCGCAAGAGCCACACACAGCTCATCTTTCGCTGAGCACATTTCACCGCTGATCGCCGGCACACAGCCACCCATCTGTCCTTCTTGCCTCTCTTCCCACTGTTCCTTTATTCCCTCCTCCCGCCCCATGTATCTTCTGCGCTGTCTATGAGCCTTCTCTGCTCAGCGCAGCCTCTCCTGTTCTGTGTCAGTCCATTTCTAACCTGCAGCTACTCCGTCTTTTCTCTTCCCTGCTCCCATTAGGATCTGTTTCAGGTACTGTCTCTTTTTTTATACCTCTTTACTCTCCTGTTTCCCTCCCTTTCTCTGCACTCAGCCCATCACTCCTGCATCCTCTTCTGTCTGGTCCGCCATCCCTATCTTTCTGTCTGTCTGTCCTCCTTGCTCACACATTTCTGCCACCAAGTGAAGTTTGGGGTTCTGATCACCTGGCCCTTACTCAGATTAAATTCCCACTCACATACAGCTTGGACCTGGGGCCCAGACACCTCTGTAAAGCCCCAAGGCACTTTCCCAGGTGTGACTGGCAAGCAATGGGCTATGAAGTGCTCCTAGTAAACTGATGATTTTCTTTATTTCCAGCCTGGTGCTGCTGGTCATTCTCAACATGATGCTGTTCTACAAACTCTGGATGTTGGAACATACTACACAGACGCTCACGGTGTGGCAGGGCTTGCGGCTACAGGAAAGGTACGGTCATACCTGCTTTGTCTTTGCGTCTTCTCGCCTGTTACCTGTGGGTGTTGCAGGCTTTCCCAGAACAAGGCCAAAGCCTTGGGCTCTCTTGTAGATCGCTTCCTTTCTGTGCCAAACAGATGAAGCAGGTAGTGAGCTGAAGCTGTGGGGCCATCAGCATTTCAAGATCTGAAAGTGCTGAACAGTTGCATCAGAAGACAGCGAGTTAAGGCACCTTCTGCCCAGCATGCCGTGTAACAGAGGGTGCTCTCCGAATAAATGTTCTGCAGTCTCGGGCCAAGGCATCACCTCCCCCCCTCTGATGGCTAAATTCCCTCTGAATGAAAAGCTGTGTCTCAGAACGAACGCTTTGTCCTCAGAGGAGAATTTGGCCTGTGACACACGATCAGCTGTTAGATGAGTGCTTTGAAAGGTGTGGGTCCAGATATCGGCAAGTTGTTAAGAGTGTGGGAGGACAAGAGAGATCACTAGGAGGACACAGGGCACTCTGTAACAACCTAAGAGTTCCCTGGCAGTACTGGATGGTAAGCAGTGACGTGTGATTGCGGGTTGATGTAGTTTCTGTAGTAATTGGTAGTGTGCAACCTTGTCCAAGGCTTTGTGGACATCTGATTTCCATGTGGTGTCTACTTGGTGTGTGCTGAGATGTGTAGAGCTCTAGGCCGTACGGCAGCAGGCCCGCAGCCTCCAAACAGACAATTTATTGTTGGGATCAGTCTTTATTATATAGACTCCCTCATGTTGTCTAGGGTCAGCGATGGACCTGCCAGTCTGCAGAGCACCTTTTTCACAGGTGGCGTTTGCAGTGGTGACCTGATGTGCCATAGGTGTTTGTTTATGATGATAGCCAGCAATTTTGCACTGTGAATTCCTTGCGGCATCTTTAGGTGAATGCTTTTTTTATGTATGTAAGTGCAGCTAGGTGTCCTGCCCAAACAGTCTCTTCTCTATTTGCAGAGGTTGCTAACATCCCGAGTCCACTTTGCTGCGGCGTTTTTGTCCCCTTACGTCCCCTTTCTGGCTGAACTTTGGTGTGGTGCCAGTTGTTCCCTTGCTAAGCTGGGTTTGACTTTAAGTATCCACAGCCACGTGTTACTGTTGTGACGACTTGTTTGCATGATTTGTCTCATGTTTTGGGCTTTCTCATTTCTCTTCATTAGGGAAGGGAATTACTGTTTTCCCCAGAATAGCCCTGCTCCTTTTTCCACAGGTAGCTACATGAAATCATTTTGCCTGCTTTATCTTCCTCTGGCACTCTTGGTATTTATTTGGACTGCTACAGTTTAGTATTTAAGTACAGGACTGACATGCTGTTTGTGTGCTGCTTGTAACGAGCATGTACTGGAGCTGCAGGGGTAACTCTGTGTCCCCCCACCCCACCCAGGTAACTTCACTGTGTGGCCACCGTGATGGCTGTGGAAGCAGATGGAACCCAGCTGCGGGGTTGTGCTCAGAAGCATTGCGCTTGGGGCTCCCAAGACATTTTTTCCTGTCTGGTTCTACTGAGACTTCAGTTCTCTGGGGGCAGGGGCAGTCCCCCAGACTGAGTGTACCGATCCCACGCATGTAGCTCCCCCCCTCATATACGGCAAGCAGTCTTTATTAGTAGTAGAGTGTCACTTATTAGAGACTAGGACTGTGATGAGTGGGTGCATTTTTTCACTTTTGTTTATTTACTGTCATGCTTAATTAACATTTCTTTGTTTTACCTCCAGGTCTGGAGCAAGCTGAGCAGAGCAGATGCCGGCACTCAAGGCGCTGATGGCAGGATCACCAGGACTGGCTGCCCTGAGCTGCCAGTCAGGGCCTTGGGCAGGTGCCGGCACTGAGCCTGGCGAGGAGGTGGAGCTTGGCCTGGCCCAGGCAAGGAGAAATCTCGGTAGGGAAGAGCGACATAAGGAGCGTAGCGACGAGGAGCGTAGTTGAGGCAGTTAGCACGGCAGTTGGCATCGGCAGGAAGGCGCGGCAGCGGCACCCCACTCTGCCCATTTCCTAAGGTAAGAGGGGAACAAGTTAGGTTATGACATTATATTGCCAGGGAGAAAGGAAGAACTTAGCCAAGAAGTGAGTTCTAGCTGCAGAGGAGCTCTCACTAACACAGGCACTTCCTAAAGGAAGCTTGAAAATGTCTACTGTAGCCTGAGAGGAGGGATTCAGCTATGCTGGATAGTAGCAGAAGTAAAGAAGACTTGTAGCTGTGTATCTACTTTAACAGAGCTACAAGTCATCTTTACTTTATCTTCTTCTAACAAAGTAGTAGAGGTAAGGAGAAGACAAAGCAGGAAAGACCTTTTAGCTGGTGCTAGGAAGTAGCAGAGCCCAAAGTAAGGAAGGCTTTTAGCTATGTTAAAAAGTATCATGACTTAGCTGTCTTAACTAGAGGCATGCAAAAGCAAAGAGCCATACCTGCAGAGAGAAATGGGCAGAGTGGGGTGCCGCTGCCGCGCCTTACTGCCAATGCCAACTGGCTTTGTCTTCTCCTTACCTCTACTACTTTGTTAGAAGAAGATAAAGTAAAGAAGACTTGTAGCTGTGTATCTACTTTAACAGAGCTACAAGTCATCTTTACTTTATCTTCTTCTAACAAAGTAGTAGAGGTAAGGAGAAGACAAAGCAGGAAAGACCTTTTAGCTTTAACACAGCTACAAGTCTTCTTTACTTCTGCTACTATCCAGCATAGCTGAATCCCTCCTCTCAGGCTACAGTAGACATTTTCAAGCTTCCTTTAGGAAGTGCCTGTGTTAGTGAGAGCTCCTCTGCAGCTAGAACTCACTTCTTGGCTAAGTTCTTCCTTTCTCCCTGGCAATATAATGTCATAACCTAACTTGTTCCCCTCTTACCTTAGGAAATGGGCAGAGTGGGGTGCCGCTGCCGCGCCTTCCTGCCGATGCCAACTGCCGTGCTAACTGCCTCAACTACGCTCCTCGTCGCTACGCTCCTTACGTCGCTCTGCCCTACCGAGATTTATCCTCGCCTGGACCAGGCCAAGCTCCACCTCCTCGCCAGGCTCAGTGCCGGCACCTGCCCAAGGCCCTGACTGGCAGCTCAGGGCAGCCAGTCCTGGTGATCCTCCCATCAGTGCCAGCATCTGCCCCCATTCTGCTCCACTCAGCAGCCTCCAGCGCTGTTCGGGAGGGTTAATTAGGCCTGCAAGGAGGGGCCTGATACCTCCATTTACCTGCCATTGGAGAGAGCCAGGGCTGCTATTACTCCTAATAAAGAGAAAGCCTTGTATTAAATAAAGACTGACACAGCATGTCCAGAAAAAACAAACTACAGAAACTGTACAGGGCTACCAGCCCACAACATGATGTTGCGTTGCATCCTTCCCCATCGATGGCCACGGAGCCACCTTCCAGTATACACAGCCCCCGCGCAGTGGGAGCACGCTGCCTTCTGTCCGGACGTTCCCCTCTGGCAAAGGGGCCCTCAGTTCCACCCACACTGCTATAGCTTCTGCAAAAGGCACATCTTTGCTGGTCCTTAATTAATTACCATGGTTAAGACAGAGTAGCATTGATATGCAATTTAGGAAAATACTAAGCACATTGAAATGCAGTTTTGCTCAAGAAAACCTGCCCCTTCAGTGACAAGACTAGACGGAGACTGACACAATCTACGTGCTCCCCCTTGACTTCAGTTTCCCCGGATTCACGCTTGCTCATGTTCTGCCTGACAGGTTACCCCAGTCTCAGACAGAATGGGCTCAGTTACTAGAATCGCAGCAGAAGTATCATGACTCAGAGCTACAAAAATGGCGTGAGATCATCAAATCCTCGGTGATGCTTCTAGATCAGGTGAGACCACGCGGCCAGTTAGCGCTGTGACTAGAGGGTCACCGTGTCCTCCCAGCCACCCGCTTGCAATGCCGCAGCCTTACCGGGTTCCATTGTAGTCCATCAGGTGCCTCAGCTCCGCTGCCGTCTCCCTTTAGGTCCATCTTCTGACGTCGTGGGGGGCAGCAGGTCCCAAGGGCCAGTCGCAGCACATCGCAGCTTCTCTGTCACCTCACAGGGGCCCACACACGTCAAGGAGAGAAATCTACAGGGCCAAAAACCTTACATTAGCACATCTTATATCTAGTATCTGGCATCCCAGCTGGGAAAGCAAACTATTTGCCCGCAACCCTGGATTCATGTGCAGCTTGTGTAGATGAAGGGGGCCTGCTCTCCGTGTGCCCCGAACAGCACAGAGGGGTTTCAGTATCTGCTGCCTAAAGACAGGTTGTACACCAGGCGGCTTAGAACAGAATTCATAAACGAAAGCCCCTCTCCCCTATGGACAGAGCTGCTCACCCCTTCTCTGTTGTCACAGAGAACGGACTCTGATGGGCTCCCATCTTCTCAGCCCCGATTTGCACGTGCCAGCCCTGATGTACCGCTCCCCAAAACCAGATGATTATGGTGTCAATACTTTACGTGGAAGAAGGAGGCACCAGTGGGGAAGGAAATCCCGAAGCGCTCTCACCTCTAGGGTAGCATCACAGTGGAGAAATTTCTTGTCTTGCAGATGAAGGATTCACTGATAAATCTTCAGAATGGCATCGGGTCCCGGGACGTCGGGTCAGATCCAGAGGAGAAACGGAAACGTTTCCACTGACAGGCAGGAATGAACACTGGCTGAAATGGAGCGTCTCGGTGGCAGTGTGGTGTGTGCGTGTGTGGGAGGGCTGTGCTCTCCCGGCACTGAGGTGCGCTTAGGGGCGCGCCCAGGTGTGCTCCCCTGGGCCCGTGCACCACTCTTCTGTAATATTCCTGGCTGTATGTTTGTCTGTCTGGTTTGTTTTTCTTGTTTCAAAGGGAAGCATCAGAGTGAATGTCCCCCCACCCCTCCCTGCGCATGAAGGCTCCTGGCTGACTGTATTTATCTAGCCACACAAAGGGGACACTGTCAACCTTCTTACCTTGCTGGCTTCAGGGCAGAGAGGTTTCGGCCATCACCGGCAAGCCCTTACAAAACTATTCCGCATTTGGAGAGGAGGCCTCCAGAGGAATTGCTGTAGGTCTGTAGAGAGCAGATCTCGCAGGCAATCGCCTTCTGTACTTCTTGGAGCAGCAATACAATTCGCTGTCATGCCGGCCAGCCTGCTTCGGAGAGCAAAGCACAGAATGTAAATGAGCTGAAACGCTTTCTCCAAACACTAGTTTGCCGCCTCCTGTTATTAATACTGCATTAATGACCAAGGAGATGGTGGGCAGGGGAGTATCTGCCTACAAGGTGCACAGGTGGAGGAGAGCCGCACCGCAGAAAGCACACGTCCATTCCCTTTGACAGTGTCCCCTTTACATTTTCTGCAGTTCCCTGCTTTCCATGTGCTTGGGCCCCTGCTGTTAAGCCATCCCTGTGCTGAAGATCTACATTGGTGCTGAATGGGCTACAACCCTGCGGCTTCCCACGACGGGGGGAGTACCCCAACTTAAAACTAAAATCAGTGTTTATTTGCAATGGCTCCCACTGCCCTGCTCAGCAAATTTCCCTCCTGCCCCTCACCTGCAAGACCATTTCGCTCGTACCACCTAGCCCTTACCTTGTCATACAAACTCTGCAGGAAAACATTAGGGAGAAAAAGAACAGTTTCCTTCACTGGGATACTTACAGGACTGCATCTATAGAGCAGCAAGGCCTCCAAAAGTCCAGGAGAGGTTAGGAAGGGTCATGGGGACCAAAAAAGAGAAGAAAAAAGGGACCGTTGGAGGGTGGCAGGATAGATCTGGAGCAGTGTCCACAGCGTGAGGCATCTGACTGGTCTCTCTCATAAGCTGGATAGCGAAGCATTTGCTCAAGCCAGGCGGTAGAGCTGCATTTAAAAGACAATATGCATTTTCACTTGTTCTGGGGGATAATTCCGGACTCCCATTAAGTAGCCAAATGAGGAAGAGGGGCGGCGGAGGCTGCGCTATGCAGTGTACCAAACACCACTGTGACTGCAATAAAAAGTTTTCTCATCTTACCCAACCAGGTAGATTAGGTGATATGTGAGGCTCTCGGTCTCCACCTTGTTCAACACCAGATTTTTCCACTTTCTGAAGAGCAGGAGGGAGTCAGCTGCGTGCTCCCCTTATGCAAGCGGTGCAGTTCTGACTCCTCCGTTGGGCACTGAAAGAACATGGGACATAAGTGTGAGTAACTGGTCTTTGTATCTCTGTACCAGAAACTCTCATCCGTACAGCTGGGTGACAAAGTGGAGTCTAAGGAAAACCCTCACAAGCACCCGCTCGCGCGTTCCAATGAGGTAAAGGTAATGTACGTAGAGGTAACCCGCTGATGGCTCCCAGCCTCCCAACAAGTTTCATGACCAAGTGCTAAACACAGCATGTCCTGCAGAAGATGACTCGCATTTGAAGGAGCGCGGATGAAGACGCATTATCAAAAAGACATTTAAGAGTTGAAAGCAAGGGACAATTGGCAAAAAGATGCCTCAGCAACTAGAGAGTAACGTGTACATATGACTATTTATTTAGTATAATGCTGCTCACTACTGTACTGCTCCCTGACTTTTTTCCAGGGGGCTGCTGAAATGGCTACTGTACAATGAAACTGAGGTGCTAGTGCCTGGCCAGGGCATTCTGTGGCGCGGCGCGTCGCAGGAGGGCCCTGACTCCCCGCTGTGACTTGCCACACTGGCCAAGAGTCCTGTTTCCCCATTAGTCACTCCCACAATTACTAAGCGCAGAAAAATCCCCTACTGCCCATCTTTCCCTTTTCTAGAATTTAATTCCAAGCACCAACAAAGAAGACAGAAAGGAAGCCCTGTGCTTGCCACCTTGCCCATGCCAGAAAAAGAAAAGGCCACATCTTGAGAGAAAAACCTGGAATGTGGGGTCTTTGCCACCTGGCCAGGACCATTTTCTACGTGGACAGACATAACTCATCGAGAGGCAGAGAAAGCCACCTCTCTGAGACGGCTGAAGATAAATGCTCATGATCAGAGTTGGTTTCTTACCTAGTTCACATTCTCTTGCTAGTTATGGAGGCAAGAAATCCATTTGCTCATCCGCGCGTCCTTCCTCTGCAGCGTTCTTCCAGATTGCTGTCGCGTTAGCTTCAGGATGTTCCTGTTGACATGGCGTCCTTGGGCTTGACCCTAGGGACAGAATTGCACAAGCTCTGTTACATTCATGCGAGGCCACGCAGCGGCACCTCTAACAATCTCAAGCACTAATACTCATTCTGCCTGCACATTGCTTTAAACTGGGTTCCACACGTTTGACGTTCACCCTGACACACAGCTACGTGAAGTCGTTCAACAAAGAGCGCAAGGGTGGTGGTACCAAACAGAGACTTGTACATCCCTTCAGACCGAGGGAGGTTTCTCTCTGAGGCCTTAGGTTTCTTTTTCTCCAGTTCCTAGTTACTTATGTTCTTTTTGCCACTTGGCAGCAAGTCTGGCTTGGAGTTGGATAGGATTCATGATCTTTTATTGCCTCTTCATTTATCACAGTAATAATAAAAGAGAAAAAAGCAAGGTCTTAAGACAAAACCCACAGTGGCACTAAGGGTGAAGGCTGAAACAAAACTGGGGCGTGTTCTCACCTAGATGCCTTCCTCTGGAGGGCTACGACAGGAACTGCCTGCTACTGTGGGTCAGCAAGTCCCAGCTGACAGATTCATTCCTCTTGCAGCCATAGACAGTTTTGGATCCATCAGTTTATGACTACATTTCCTGGAGAAATTAGTAACGCTTTCTAGGAGCAACGCTGAACAACCCAAATAATGTTAGGGGGGTGGTACTTCTGCCTTCCCTAAGCAGCGACGGCCAAGTCATAGCTTGGCTTCCCTTGTCAGGGTTTCGCTTCTTTACTTGCTTGCCTTGCTCACCCGTGCCAGAAATGCCACATCTGTGGTGGTTTTCTCTGTAGCACCTCCCAGATGCGTTTCCCCGCCAAGTCCTCCCTCTGACCCTTCTGCCGCTGGTAATCTGCCAGGTGAGCGCAGCTGCATTTTGATTTGCAGAATCTGAACGATTGCAAGAGAGATTTTTCAAAAAGCATTTCTCCGGCCAAACATGCAAACTAATGGCAACAGCTCGTGGCCTCATTCTTGCCAAGTAAGGTGCTGCCTGTCGGGAGGAGGGAGAAGAAGGGACAGAGGCTCCCATTTGCCAGTTTGTGTATCTCACCCTGTTTATACGGGACAAGAATATACTCGCTACTCCTAGCGTGACCCACGCTCACTTCTGATAAATACACGCCTTCTGATGCTTACCTTAAAAGAGGTGTTTGGGTTCTGGCATCTGGGATGAGCTCAAAGTGAAGTTGAGACCTGGATAACTGCTGTACAGCCATGCATTCAAAAAGTAGATGCCAAACGTATCCAGTGCAGCACCTGCGCGTAAAAGACCAAAAGACAGAGATTATTCCAGGTGGCAAGATCAGAAGCACGTGCCCCCAGCGCGGGGGCATTGCTGGGGCTGCACATTCCACTTGAAAGAGAGAAGGGTACCTGCAATGGGGAGACCAGGAGGTAGCTATGAATTAAGTAGATAACTATGCTTTTAACTGATAATCCAAGAGTCAGAAAACGTCACTATTCATTGGTATTAATTAACTTCTGCACAAATGCCTCCAGCTCCCTTGAGTCCTCTGCGAGAAGAGAGAAGAAGTCACACAATTTTGATGTCCCCTAGCACCTCTCAGTTAGGTTGCTGACAGAGTATGCATTTACACACAGCTTACACGCTACCGTACCAGTCTGGGGCGGCAGTCTGCTATTTGACCGCCTGACCCCACTTGTCTGCTTTAGGGCTAATAAAGGGAAACCCAAGAGATATGCAACTTGGCTTTGTTACAAATATGACCCCTTTAGTTTCAGCTCACCTGGGTGTAGATGGGGACACAGACTCTTTAGATTGCTTGTCTCCTCAGCGCTAAACCGTGTCGCCTACATATATGCTTTTTCCTACTGTTACTCAAGGTAGAAATTTGTTTTCCAGATAGCGGCTGGAGACACTTTAGGTCTGGGTGCTTGAAAGGAGACTTTTTGGATATGCTCTACGGCCGTTTCTGTGCAGATAGAAAGGCGACAGGAAGGGACCTGCGATACACCAGGGCTAAGCGAAAGACACCCTTGCAAACCTCACGCTTTGGCTTTCTGCATCTCAGGTGCCACCCAGAAGGGTGTGCGTACGTGCAGGTGTTGGTGAATACAGTATTTGTGTGTGACATGGCCTTAATCCCCCTTTCCTGGTAGCTTTGCCTTCTCAGACTTGTGCTTCCTAAGGCACCTACCTAGAGGAGATGGAGAGAGAGGGCAGCCCGCAGCTTTCGCAGCATCCAGCGCTAGGACAGAGTGGTGGAGATGGTCTCCAACCCTAAAAAGACCAGCGCTGCTCGTGCGGAATGAGCTGCGAAGTAGAGGTTAGTGGCAGACATTCTGGGGGAGCGAATCGCTCCTGGCTAGTCAGAAGGGTCTTTCCATGCTACTAGGAGTGGGACAACATGTGGGACGCTGCTCTTCCTCTCGGGTTCATTTACGTGAGCACAGTTAGCATAAAGCCAGCGTCTGAGTTCATGTCAGTGGAGAAACAGTCTGTGAAGGCCGGTACCCTGGTGTACACGGTCTCTAGCCTAGTGCAGTGCGGGTAGTGGGGCTCGGTCAGC